TCTCAATCTCTTCACCATCCATCCTGATGCAACATTATTACATTTGGAAAATCTGCTTCAGAGACCTCTGTAAAGTGTTAAACATGTCATTCTGAAGACCAAGGTAAACCAGACCCAAGCAAAGGGTTTTTTCCTCCTTGCCTCATATGCAGGAGAAAGCTGCAAATGAACAAAGAAGATTAAATAATTGATGTGTCTTGAATTACTGTGTTGATAAAAAACTATTGAATGGACTGCCTGGAGCCCTGGTGGTGTGGCGGTTTTAAGAATTTACTGGTTAAAACCAAAAGGCTGGTGGCTGCCAGCCACTGTGCAGTAGAAAGGTAAGGCAGTGTGTTTTACAGTCTTAGAAATCCTATGGCAAGTTCTCCGTCCTACAAAGAAGTGGAAAGTGACTCCATGGCAGTAGGTTTGGTTTCAGCCAAAACGAATAAATCCGTCTTGGAAGAAATCAAGTCTGAATGCTCCTAGGAAATAGGCATGGGGAAACCGTCTCACTTACTCTGGACATACTATCAGGAGGGATCAGTGTCTGCAGAACATCGTGCTTGATTAAGTACAGGGTCAGAGAAAAGGAGGAAGGCAAGATGGATTGACACAGTGAATGCAACAATGAGTTCAATGATGCCAAAATTGTGAGGTTGGAGCTGGCCCGTTTAGCAGTTTCATGATGCTGCACACAGGGTCGCTAAATGTCTGAGCCAGTTTCACCGAAACGAATAATGACACATATCTACTCTTGTTTCTTGCTTCCATCTTCCTTTTCCCCGTTTCCGCCCTCCTCTCAATTCTTGCCATAGGAGCAAGACAAATCTTTTCGGATAAATCACAGCATATAATAGTAAGAAGGAAGAAGGCGATACGAACTAAATAGAAGTTGAAGATTAGTTGAAGCTGCTTCGGGTGAAGGGAGGCAAACTATGTGCAAAGTAATGCAGTGAATCTCCAACAATAATTACGCAAGTCATCACAGTCACAAATCACCGTGAAGTCACTCTGGCAACCTGAAACCGCTCGCCGCCCTCAGCCTGGAACTCGGCGCATCTGTGTGAGGTCACGCACGCACCGCCCAGTCGGCTCGCGCTCCGCGCCCGGTCGGGAACAGGCTCTGGGCGCCGGAAGTCCGGGACACGTGACCGGTGACAATGCTTGCTGGGCTGCAGGGCTTCCTTTAGGTGCTGCGGCACGGGATGGCGGAGGCTCCTCCGGTTTCAGGTACTCTCGGGCCCGGGCGGGACCAGGCCCCTCTCGGGGAGTGGAAATCAGGGCCGTGACGTAGTCCAAGGGCTCCGGCCTTTAGTGTCACTGGAGGGGCTTGTGCTAAGGTTGGATATAGTGGCTCGGAAGGACCAAGATAGGCTCGTCTGGCGTCCCAGGACCCCGACCAGCAGTGTTTGGGTTGCGATCCTGTCTTGGAGTCTGATCCTCCACCGGTGCTCAGTTTGGCCTTCCTGGGGCACTGGCCGAAGTGGCCGCCGACCGATTGGCGTGGGCCTGGTGACCGCCCTCCCTGGGTGGCGGACTCTAAACCCATAACTGGTGTGCACTCCGTGCTCAAGGTGTATTCTTGCCTTTCGGGTTTAGTTACACGGGCGCTACCTGAACATTCTTGATTTCCAATCGCAGTCTGCCACGAACTAGCTGTGAGACTGCGACTCACTTTCTTCATCTGCCAGTTGGGAGTATATTTAAAGTCTTCCCGCCCGCTGCTGCCCCTTTCCTAAATTGCCTGTTCACGTCCTCTCCCCGAGTTCCCTCCGTGTGTAAAAATACCTTCATTTGGTTGCTAATCTGACGTCTATTTCCATTTTCTTCGGGCTGTATTTTAGAACCGATTTTGCCAAACTTTTTGGACAACATTTTACATAGGAACCCTAGCACATTCATAAATTTAAAAGTGAACCACAACTTTCAGGAAGCAATAGTTTCCCCTAATATCATTTTTCTCCCTATTTAAAAAATAATGCTTGTCATAGCCACTGAATTGCTTTCAGGATCAGTGCTTTCTAAAAAAATCAAAGAGTTACAGCTTGCAACAGTATTCGAAACGGTTATGAGTTTGAGTCCGAATTCTGCTGTATCAGCTTTTGGATCTCAAAGACTACACAGATATTTGTGTACTGAAAAACAGAAGAAATGGATTTTTTTTTTTAACTGTGAGTCTCATTTAAAGTTGAAAAACTCTCCCTTAGCATTCTGCCTGTGTGAGACTTCAGAACAAACCTTGGATAGAGTGAGAGGTTACTCTGTGGTTTATGATCTCTATAGAAAATTCATTACTCTACTCCAGTTCTTATGTAGGGAGTTCTGATGACTTTGTAGTTAGGAAATCCACTGCCAGTGTGGTTCGAATCCGCCTGCTGCAGTACGGGAGAATGATGGGCAGTCTCCTGTGCTACTTACTGCCTCTGAAAACCCACTGGAGGGTCCGCTATGATTTGGGTCCAACTTGACAGTATACAACAACAGTTCTTATGTAGGTATTACATCATCTTGGTGGTAGGAACCTTTTTAGGCTAATTTTTTGTCATTCTTCCCACCCATTTCTTTTTAAACAGGACCAATACGTTTTCCCATCCTCAGGCTTGCATGTGCCCAGGTTATACTTTCCAGTGCTGATGCAGAATTGAATAGGGACTGTCTGTGAGTCATAGTGTTGTGTCCAAAGTTACTATCTCCACCCCTGATACATGTGCCAAGACAAAGTTCCATAGTCCAAGGATCTCCCTATCCCCTTTTATTTGCTTTGTTTTGCTTTTTGCCTTAGTTCTGATTTCATTGTTACTTAATTTAACATTGTATCTAGCCTACATCCCCATTCTTATTCAAGTTGTCATGATTTTGCAAACCCCTGCCCTGGAATGAATTGTCCAGCCCAGGAGATACCGTTCCGCCATGGGCAGGATTTTCCACTGCCAGCGTATATTTCTCTTTAATGAGTTTTATCCACTTGGTAGATATCTGCTGCCTTAGGGTACTACCTCCTTATAGTTGGTGATGATATGGCACACTTACTGTAACTTCTAGCTACTTAAAATAATAAAAGAAGAAAATGTCTCAGATCTTTGCCATGGTCAAGTTTCCTTATTCATGTGCCCCTTTTCCTCTTCCTTAAGTCTTTTGAGGGTTTATCTGAAGGTTTTGTCTATTGGCTATGCCCTTGTTGCTATGTGCCAGTACATAGCTGACGTTCTAGAGAGTTTTCAGAGGATGTAAATCACTCAGGAGATTGCCCATCTTTCTCCCATGGAACAGCTGGTGAATTTGAACAACATGCCTTTGGGTTGGCAACACAACTCCTTATAACTAGGCCACCAGACACTTAAGTGTGTTGTTGTTGTTGTTGTTGTTGTTGTTGTTGTTGTTAGATGCGGTCAGGTTAACTACGACCCATAGTAACCCTATAAACAACAGATTAGAAGCCTGGCCTATTGTCTGTCATCCTCATCATCTCTGACATACATAAGCCCATTCCTCGTCGAGGATCTTCCTCTTTCCCTTACCCTCCCTAGTGGAGCATATATGAATAGCTGCTGCCTTATCTGGGATTCTGACCTGACTACTTTATGTGCCCTAACTCCTCTCTCTAACCTGAAACCTCTTCCCACTCTTTTTGAGGCTCCTCGACACAACCTTACTATTTCTTCCTCACTTTAAGCCTGGCTTCTTCAAGCTGGAGACAATGGCATAATACTCACTTAGTTTTCTTCCCATATCACTTTTACATTCTCTCATATTTCTGGAACACTTGTTCACTTCTTAAATGTATGTTTCTATGGTTGTCATGCCCAACCTCTCCTTATCACTGTTGTAATATAAGGGCCTGGTCTCTAGGCTGCACAGAAGGAATTCAGACTCTGCCTTGGGATACTTCTGTTAACCTGGGCAGGTAACTTACTCACTCACTCACTCACTCACTCAGTCTCTCTGACTCACTCCTTGCTGTTTGACTTGGAACTGACTCATCACTGACCTTTCATCGGGTTTTTAGATGCTGTAAATCATACAGGAGGTGATTCTTTCTCACACAGAGTAGCTAGTTGGATTTGAACTCTCTGTCTTTGGGTTGCCAGTACAACTGCTTGCACAGTAGATCACCAGAGCTTCCTATTTAATCTCTTAGTTCCTCCACTTTCTCTTCAGGAATGAGAAAATTAAATGAGCCAATAAATGCAAAGTGCTTAGAAGCATGCCTGGCACACAATCAGTAAATACTTATTTGGCCTTGAAATCCTCAGGGCTCTGTGCCATACCCACCTGTGCTATAATCTTTGTTTTTCAGATGGCCTTTGGTCCAAACAGCAATAATAAAACACCGTTTTCATCTCTTTATATATGTTACTAACTTGCTTCTATACTTTATTGCAGCTCTTTGTTGTAGGGGATTGTAACTGTCTCTATTCATATATAAGAAAACTGGGATAAAATAACGTGCATGAAGTTATAATAGCTGATTCAAACCAAGAACAAAACCTGCTGCCTTTGAGTCAGCTCCAGTTCGTTAGTGACCCTCTGTTGAACGTCTGAATCCACCAGTGGCTCATTAGGAGAAAGGTGGGCAGTCTCCTCCTGTTCAGATTTGCAGCCTTGGAAACCCAGTAGAGGATCACTGTGAGTCAGAATCAACTCGATGGCAGCAAGCCAGTGAATAAGTGAGCGAATTACGTCATAGATGAGGAAACCAAGGCTAAAAGCCGTAAGTGATGTCCCTAAGTTCTTACCATTAGTTGGAGGACAGATATTATTGATTTTATTTTTGCTTGCTTACTTGCTTTTTCTCTTTTAAATTATAGGTTATGTGAAAGTTTACAATGCAAATTGGCTTTCCATTCAACTATTCATACACATTTTGTTTTATGACATCAATTATAATACCTACAATGTAATTTCACTCTTGCCATTTCCTGCTATCCTTTATTGCCTTCTAAGATCGCTCCCTGGGCATACACTGTCTTTTTGATCGTAAGTGGTTGATTATCTTAGAAGGTGAGTGCTTCTCTAGTGTTACTTTTTTTTACCATATCAGCCTGGCTGGCTGGCTGACAGTAAAGCCACAGGGGACAGTTTTGTTTCATGTTTGAAAAATAACCAGGGGTTCCCCCAGTCTCTGCTGGACCGATAAGACTGGCCATTACGATGTTTGAGTTTTGTTCTACAATTCTTTCCACTCTGTCTGGGATCTTCTACTATGACTCCTTTTAAGATGGCTGGGCACCATCTCATTCTTGTCTTGAGGGTCCTGGAGATTGAGGTTCATGAGACCCATTCATCCTTTGGGCAAATTGTTTGAGTCCTTCTTTGCTTTGCTTCCATCTTCTTTGTCCTGGACAGGGAGGGACCAACAGCTGCATCGTAGATGGCTGCTTACAAGTTGTTTTGGTTTGTTTTGTTTTTTAATTGTGTGGGTTTTTGTTGTTGTTTTTATTAAATTGTATTAGTTTTAATGAACATTTACAGAGATTTGGGGTTTTCATTCATTCATTGTTGCACTGTTTTCTCCACCCTCCTCC